GCCACGATATCGGCAGAACATTTCCAGCCTTCGAAGAAGCAACATCTCCAGGAATAATAGACTCATAGGAAAAGAAAAGCATGGAAGTATACCAGGCCTCTACCTCCGTCAGCCCGAAGGAAGGAGTTGAAGAACCAGGTCCCAGTATAGTAGTATCTCAGTATTTGCAAGATAGTCCATTCCAAATAGAGTAAATTCATCACATTATATCGTTTGTTATTGTACTTCACTGCTACTAGAGCTGTTGCTCACCCTTGACCAGTTGAAAATAATCTGAAGTGCTTATAGATGACGATGAGTGGTCGAATTGCTCGATGGTACTATGGGAGCGCGTCCCCTGTTGCTCTTAAAATAATTAACAGTAGGCATACTGAAATGGACGTCCCTGTGGAGGTGTACACCACGGAGGTGGCTTGCAACCACTCTTATTTTATTCCCGACGGGTGACGATCCTTTTGCTAAAAGATGGCCCAGCCCAGAGCAATTAGAGTGGAGTGCAAACATATGCCGTTCCAGCAATTGATCAGTTAATACCAAACATAAACTTTTGCGGCTGAGTCTTGGTTGTACCAGTGAAGAGGTTTGATTGCTAATTGATAAGTCACTTTACTTCACCTCGTACACTTGCATTGTAAAAAGCTGCGTGGTTAATAAATGCTCTCGAACTTCACTTGATTTTCATTTCTTCTCTACCTTCACAAAACTCTGTATCCACGAACTTATATAAAAAAAAATATATACACAACGTGGGAACGTGTTTGAGGGGTAACGAAATGAATTTCGATACGCCTCAAATATGATATACTAGACGATCACATAAAATATGGTTTTATAGTTCCATATTTAGCTAAGACCCGGGTGGGTTTGGTTACAACATGTATACACGAGTGCCAAGACGGTCTATAACACCTTGCTGAAATTTTTCAATTTGTTGGACCCAGGGTCCCTATTATCAAAAATTTCAACGATGTATACTATCTTCTGTAGGCTTCAGCTACATAGAGTCACTGATGGTTTCTGGGACAAATTTTTGAATTGTACTTCGGCTCTGATACCAACAGTGTGAATATGAGCTCGGCAGTCAACGTGTTGAGTAGCTGTAGACTTTATTTTTATATAGTGAGAAGCCGTTGTGAGTCTTGTTTTCTTTTATCTTTCTTTCGCAATTCCAACAAAAACTTATAGACCAGGACATGGTGACATGTGACGTTCTCCCATTTTATACGAGATGCCTTCTCAAGGCTTCATAATTAACAACAAAATATAAAAAATAGACGGGTTCCTGGCCGCCGCACGTGTACACTTCATAAGGAAAAGTGCTTTTTTTTTTGTGAAAATCGAGAGTCTATATCACAACTATAACTACTTAGCTTAAATAGTGAGATGCTGTAACAATTTAATTTAATGTGACAATTTGAGGAATATGATTTTTCACTGATTTGGGCGAAAACTTTTTTACAATCCGTTTAAACGAACTGAGATTCTGACAAAAAAGTCTATATCCTGACTACTCCTGACAAGATTATTGTATGTGAGACAAAAACGCAGCATTGGCGAATTCAATAAGTAGTTTGATCTATACCTATCTATTAAAAAAATATTTCTATTGCGAAGACCAAAATGGTTACAATTGAACTCAAAATACTGAAGACAATATTCAGAGTCGACCATATTATTGAGCAAGTTTTAAACGAAAATAACATCAAAAAATAATCTCCTATCTTCTACGGAGTTGAGATTATAAAAAGTTAGGTTTGACTTATACGAACAATAGTGACGCTGCTTGTTAAATTTGTAATTTATGAAATTTTTCAACTTATGTTGCACTCTTTCAATGCGTGAAGTGTATTTAATATAAAATAGATTCCAGAGAATCGTGGAAAACTCCAATATTGGTCAAACAATCGCATTATGCAACTTTGAAATAGTTGACAAATTTTGAAAGTTTTTGCTCATTCTCATTTTAAATCCAAGATTCTTCATTGCTTTACGGACAATAACATCAATTCGATTTTCGAATAACAATTCCACATCTAATATAATTCTTAGGTCTTCCATAATTTGCGATGATTGAATACAAGTGTTATTCAACAGTATTTCTTTATGAGGAGGAGTGATAGAGCGTGAAAAATTATTCATCATACATTTTTTGTCAGGATTGACGAGCAGCTTGTGTCTAATACAAAATTCTGAAAAAGCAGTGATACAAAACTCTGAAAAAGCAGTGATGTAATCCTGCAGTAGCTCATAGTCACGGTCACACTTGATCTCTTTGTATATTACACAAATAAACTATCATTCTTATGGCATGCAGTTTGGAATCACGGAGTTGTAGTGGACTGTAGTCCACAGGATTGGAAGTAACTTTTATGAACGCGAAACGGCGGTTAAATTTAAAAAGTGATTCTTTGTGCACCATATATATGTATATACAGTGTGACCCATTTAAGATGGAAGCACCCTTATAAAACTTACATTTTTCAACCGATTGGAATGATTTTTTTTTTGTTAGGTAGATATTCAAAAAGTCTATTAGGACACCAAATATCATGAATAAATCTCCATTTCCAGGGCCAACTAATCTGATTTTTCAAGGTCAAAAATCTAAAAAAATTACTAGCGATTTTTTTAAAAAAAATCTGACTACACCACTGGATTTGTGACATTTTCAAATGGGTAACATGTAAATTACGTTGAAATGCGTCAATCAATAAAAAAGTTATAAAGGAATGAAATTTGAAAAATATGCCGTTTATCAACCCATCAATTTTTATTACTGAACAGATTTCGATGAAACTGTGATCAGTAATATTTCAAGACATCCTGAATCCAGTGGAGTATACAGAATTTTCATAAAATTCCTGAACATGAATTGGTGGGTTGATTAAACGGCATATTTTTCAAATTTCATTCCTTTATAACTTTTTTATTGATTGACGCATTTCAACGTAATTTACATGTTACCCATTTGAAAATGTCACAAATCCAGTGGTGTAGTCAGATTTTTTCTAAAAAAATCGCTAGTAATTTTTTTAGATTTTTGACCTTGAAAAATCAGATTAGTTGGCCCTGGAAATGGAGATTTATTCATGATATTTGGTGTCCTAATAGACTTTTTGAATATCTACCTAACAAAAAAAAATCATTCCAATCGGTTGAAAAATGTAAGTTTTATAAGGGTGCTTCCATCTTAAATGGGTCACACTGTATGTATATATATCAACTAACTATATTATAAATGCTATACAAACTAAGACTAGACAACAAGAAGGGTGAAAAAGTTCTTGAACACCTGTATTAAATTTTTACAGAGTTTTCCCGAAATGTTCATACGTTGGTCAATCGAGGGGCGCATGCAAATTTTTCCATTTGTTTGTTTACTAGAACAATTGTTTATATCGGCATGCAATTTGAAAACACGGAAGTCCGCTTCAATTTCCTTCAGTTTTTCGTAACCCTTGTGAGCCTTGGAGGCTGTGGATTGCAAGCCATCAATTATAAGCGCTTCAGTTTGTTCGAAATTTCGTATATTACAACGACATGCAGTATAATATCGCGGAAGAACACGAAAATTCTTCACAAGAAGAAAAGCGCTCTTCCTTATGAAGTGTGCACGTACGGCGGCCAGGAATCTGTCTATTTTTCATATTTTGGGGTTAATTATAAAGCCTTAATGAAGCATGCTGTGTAAAATGGGAAAACGTCACCTGTCACAATGTCCTGGTCTATTACCTACCTGTATTTGTCTCTAGTTTGAAATAAACAACAGACATCACTCAACATGAGAAAAAAAAACGAACTCAAAGTTGGTCGACCACAATATTTAATATAAAAACAATGTTGTATATAAATAATATTGTGGTCGACCGACTTTGAGTTCGTTTTTTTTTCTCCTGTTGAAAAATACTGGACCACTTTGAGAACGGTTGGTTTCCATTAGAGTTCCTAAATGTACTTGACACTGCTGTTTTGACTATTTTTGTATATTAGAGTAAGGACACTATGACAAGCACTGACAATCAGACATAACCACAAATAAATTGATGGAAAAAGTGGGCATTGACAGAACACGGACGCACATGACATAAATTTCAAAGGTTTGACAAATTGAGAGAATTAGGAGAATGATGCAAGTTTGTGCAGTTTCCAACTGTGAGAACACGGGAAATCAATTCACTCTATTCGAATTTCCATCGGATAACGTAATTCTACAAAAATGGAAACAGGATAATTATGATGCGGCCGGCATGGAATATAGGTTCAGGCCACAAAATTTGCGAGGTATTCAAATTTCTTGGTAGGATATAGAACATTTTTCAACGCATTTTTATCAGGTTCACTTCAGAACGGAAGATTTGATGTAGAAGAATAGGATCGTATTGAGAGAAAGAGCCGAACCCACAATTTAAAAACTGAGCTAGTATCGAAAAGAACATTATTCCACTTTAGAACCAATAAGGAACGAAAAACTTGCAGATGATGAAATTCTGAAATTTTATGATAAAAAAATATTCAACTGAACTGAACGAGCGACTTATTTCATAGGAATAGTATATGTATTTCGTTGGTATATATGTACATTCCAACTTGATATCGACCTCCATTGAGGTCCTTCAGCCTTATCATTCAATATTTCGATAAGAAATAATTTTCTGATAAATTTATCGTACCCTTTTACCCACTCGAGGAGACGCTATGCACTCTCATAAAAAAATCAAAGACAGAGAAAGATATATGGATGTACTCTTCCCCGGACTTGTGGAGGAAGGAAGATGCGAGGATCCTTCATCTAGGCAAAAAACATATTCTTGTCCTTGTCTGCCAAAACATATGATTCGCTTCAAAATCGTTCGTGGTTATGTTTGATTGTCACTGCTTGTCTGATATCCGTACTCTAATATACAAAAAACGTCAAAACACCAGTGTCAAGTACATTTAGGAACTCTAGTTTCCACGACTTACATATCACTCATGTTAACTAGTGATTTTCACAATTGCAGGTTATTTTATAAACCAGGAACATTTTTAGATGGTTACCCAACACTAATCTATGGTGATGGAGATGGAACAGTGAACCGAAGGTCTCTGGAAGGTTGCCTTCATTGGAGAACGCTTCAAAAGCAGAAGGTCTTCGTTAAAGAGTTACCAAAAATTGATCATCTGCAAATTTTGCATGACAAGAGTACTCAAAATTACATTACTAGTCTTATAAAAAAATATGCAAGATTAAGGCAGCCAATGAGAAAAATCTCATGATATAGTGGAGATAGTTTTCAGGAAGTATAGTTCCCAATAATGTTTTTAAAGTTCTGAAAATTATTATGATGCTCTCTTTTGAGAAAATGTTACCTAGTTATATTGAGTATTGAGTATGCGAGCTGTTATGTGCTATTTATTTTTGTTTTGTACTTATCAAATGATATTATTTTATCCTTCCAAATATTACATTGTGATGGCCTAATTCTAACAACTCATATCCCACTTAGACTGGATTTTCCAGGATGGACGAAAAACGTTCCTGTAGTCAATATATCACAGTGCATGTGTGTAGAAATTAAAGATTACATTGTTCGAATATCAAAAAAAGTTGTTATCAACTTGTTTTGAAGTTATAATGAACATTTTTTTCTGCAGTATGAGTTTAGTGCTTCTGCAGTGTGGGTTTCGACATATTATCCCATACTATTGTTTTTTATTATTTGGTTATCTTGGATCTTCCTATTCAATGGTATAGTGTACGATATTCTGGTAAGTATGAGTGAGATACAAAATACCTGGAAATATGATATATCACCGAATCACTCAAATAATGTGAATCATTTCATTCCATCCAGATTCAGCTTATCTCCATTCATGAAAAAATGTGATAATCGTCACTTGAAAAATAAATAAAACTCAATTCAAAGAGATCTTATGCGGGACTAACAGATTTTATTAAATTATTTCAAAAGTATTTTATGACATGAATTTACTCCATTGTCAATTATGCATATGAAGCAATAAAAATGAGATAATTTCTATAGAAAGGTGTTGAAATATTTCTATTGGTGCAAGGAATATGAGCTTTTAGAATTAGAAATGAATGATGTAGATTCTACAAAAACGTCAAAACCTCAGTTTCGTGAAAATGGTGGGATACGACTAGTTAGAATAAGGCCATCGATTTTTTTTATTTAATATATAACAAAGAAAGTGCAAATAAAATATTGATTTGGTGTTTTGGTGTGTTATGAATCATAGTTCCGCTGCGTTGTCCAAAGTTGAAGAAAAATTAAATCTAAGTCCTTATTAAAAAAAAGCGTTTATGATAGATTCTCGAAGACGATACGGTTGAATTAAAATTCGAATACGTATCTTGTAGAATAAGAAGAAATTGACATGATGGAGTGTTTTTCATGTTCTAATAAATGAGGCTGAAAAACTTGAATGTGTTATATGGAATATAGTACCTATATCTTCATGAGATAACGCGATTTATACAGCGTGTCTCACTATAAACGGCCCCCCTCTATATATATCAGCTATTAGTCGTGCGATTCGTACCAAATTTGGACCGGTTTGCAACAGAGAATTGTAATAGTGAAAAAAATATGCAATGGTTGATTATAAACATCGCCTCGAAACCATTTTACAAAAGAATTATATTTTCTGCCCTTTACAAATCTCCTACTTTCGCCCTTTGCCACTTTGTGTACTGCACTAGAACATACCACGTATGACCTTTATAAGAATCCCGTCAACTGAATTCAATCTGCTGGCAAGTGGTATCAGAGTCTGCTAACAGGTGCCTTTAGGTGAATAAAACAAGTCACACTCCTTGTTATTATCAGCAGTTTGAGGTTGAAAATGAGTGGTTCTAAGAAAATATCAACCAGGAGATCGGTGGAGTATCCTCTGTTTGGATATCCTCATGATTTCCGGAAAATAACCAACAATTCCATGACAGGTATACCTCAGTATATTCAGACATTCATTGTCGAGACGAATTGAAACCTATTTCGTCAAAGTAAAAACTTTTCAAGCATATTACAAAACTCTGATATAAGTTCTTATGAATGAACAATTCTAGACAAATAGTTCCTCCTCACTACAAAAAGTACCAGCTCAAGAAATTATTTCTCGACCGATCAGAGCAAACAAGACCAGAACAGAAAAATGTTTATAGGCAATGTTGAATTAGAAGAAATGAAGAAATTGATGCAAATAAACTGCACAGAAGAGACGAGTCAAACAGATATGAAAGATAGAACAATTTTTAGTTCTTATGAATGAACAATTCTAGACAAATAGTTCCTCCTCACTACAAAAAGTACCAGCTCAAGAAATTATTTCTCGACCGATCAGAGCAAACAAGAACAGAACAGAAAAATGTTTATAGGCAATGTTGAATTAGAAGAAATGAAGAAATTGATGCAAATAAACTGCACAGAAGAGACGAGTCAAACAGATATGAAATGTCCTGACAATCTACGAGAGATGTTTGCAAGCAAAAAGTTCACGAGTTCGACGATGTAAATGCAAATACTCCAACTGCTTCGAAAGAAGATCTATGTGTGAGGAAAATGATCCAGATTGCATCGAACTGAGAACATTCGCTCAGGTTTGTGATCGATGACTTGTCAGACAGATCCGCAGCTGTGATAGCATCAGATCTTCTGAAGGACGCTGAATCAGTCAATATTGGTAGATAAAACTGGAGTCAGGGGGGTAAGGAAGAGAAAAAGGCACTGTTTGCAAGAGGAAGTGTTGGGAAGTCAATAAGACCTATCTTCTTCGACGGTAGAGAAGATAAAACTTAGGCTCAAGAAAAAGGTATAGAGCTCACTTGGAATGAGCACATTGCAAACCGCACTAAGAAGGCTGTATGCTCTGCTTCTGGGCATGCAGACGAGCCTTTGGAAAAACATGGGGTCTCACACCTAAGACCCTTCACTGGATATACACGCCATTATACGCCCAACACTTACGTACGGGTCCATTGTATGGTGGACCAGTACCAATAAGGGCAAGACCAACAGAGAACTGGATGAAGTCCAGCGACTGGCCTGCCTGGGAATAACAGGTGCTCTGAGAACGACGCCTACCAGGGCTCTTGAAGTTCTGTTAGGTCTGCCGCCTCGACACCTGTTCATACAACACGTAGCCATGAGAACTGCTTACCGACTCAACGGTGCAAACCAGTGGGTCGGAACAGAAGCAGATCAAGGACACTCCCTCACATGGAATAAGGCAAAGGAAAACTGTCCCATCCTCATGATGAGAAGGAGTACCTTGCCAATTCTGAACTTCAACAAAGCCCCAAACACTGTCATCCCTACGAGGGAAGAATGGAATGACACAACACCTGGCGTGCCTCCTCCGAATGAGTCAATCTGGTACACGGGTGGCTCAAAATTTGTGGGCGGTTCAGGTGCAGGGGTATACAATGAAGGAACAGGGAAAGAAATTTCAGTTCCTTTGGGAGAATATGCCTCAGTGTTCCAGGCAGAAGTACTTGCAATACTCACCTGTGTCCAAGAAAACCTAATTATGAGAGGTCATAGACCAATCACTAATGCTCGGACAGCAAAGCTGCAATACTGGCTTTGCAATCCAATAGGATCACATCCAATTTGGTGTCCGAGTGCAGAAAAGCCTTGGAAAACCTGGCAAAATCAAGAAAAGTCAGCCTCATGTGGATCCCGGGACATTCGGGAATACCCGCGCGGAAACGAGGAGGCAGACAGACTGGCAAAGATCGGTTCAGGACGGACCCCGGTCGGACCGGAACCAATCTTTTGGGAATACCAAATAGCCTGGCAATGTCCTCCTAGAGTCCCTTTTTGCCCCATAAACTTTATTGCAGTGCGCTGCTAGTAGATTATTTGAAATACAAAATTTTTAAATAATAATAATTACATTTTTGAAAAATTCTCGCAGATGATAGTGGAATGAGCTTCTGTACATCGCAGCGATGCAACATTGGTGATATCGCAGTTGTTGCCTCATCACGACATCTTAGAGATTCCATGTTGCAGATTCGTTTGCTTCTGTACATCGCACCGATGGATAACATTCGTAATATCGCATAGAGATGTCATGTAGCAGATGTGTTTGCTTATTCTGTACATCGCATCAGCAAATGACGTTTCCAATATCGCACTGATGATATGGTTACCTGAAAACAAAAGCCATATATAACTTCTTGAATATTCGGTCTAGTATAAAAATTAATTTCGATGAGAGAAAAGTTTTCGCATGCATTTCACATCCAGATCACTTCCGGTTACACCGGAAATGGCTCCGGTTTTGATGGGCATCAGCGACGCTTCGTACCGCGCGTTAACACCTCTTGGAGAGAGTCAATTCTGGGGCCCGACCGCCGAAGGGATTATCGTTTGTAACACGTGCCAGACCCGAATAGTGGGGCAACGGCGCCCATAAATATCTTCTCGCTACATAAGAAAATTATTCTTGCCAGACGTGTATACTGTATAGGTAGATGTTGTATCTTTTTTTAACTTGGTTATAAATTCCTGGGAATGTTAGGAATCACCCTGTATAACAAAACACGAAATGGACATTATACCTCAATCAACGATCAGGATCGCGACGAGAAAATTACATAAACTGTGGAAGCTGGAAGAAGTTGTTATAAAAATCGAACACGAGCAACTTGCTTCCTCAGATCAAGATGTCCATCTTTATATTCATGAGTTGAGTTGGGTAGATGACATCCAGGAATACCCTGTGCACAAGTCGAAAAAAATTGTAGGGTCCTTGAGACTATTCAACGAATTCTAGTAGGATATTCAGATATTCAGTATGATACAAAAATATTCGCCTTTTACTTATGCAACACAACATGACCCTTACACGAGGCTTGGCAACAGTGCACGTGGTAAAACAGTAAAAAGGAGTGTCTATATTACATATACCACGTGGAATAGATTGCTTAGGGTACCAGATATGGCTAGATCTATAGATGTTTCTACAGTCACAATTTAGCATTTAGGGACTTTAGCGTGATATCTTGTGCTTGTGGTTTCGCAAAGTAATCTATCTCAACCACAAACAAGGCCTCGCCTCGCCCTTTTAGCCTTCGTCATAATTCAGAAATCAGAACATTTCGACATTTATATAATAATGTTATATGTCCGGCACCGGATATGAAGGCATTTCATTTATCGAGCTTCAAGTTCAAGTCAAATATTTTATTTGTGAAAAATGAAAAATTTGTTGAAAACTTGTTAATTTCAAATTGTTTGTTGATGTCTTCAAAATCACAATCCCCTGATAAACGCAAAATATTTCAATGAAGTATCGAAATATCTAAATATTTGACCAATAAGAAATTTGAATCCTACTTGTGAAAAGAATGGGAATGCAATGCATTCTCATTTCAGTCATTTCTCATTCTGCATTCTTGGTGGGGGAGTTATGACAAAAATGGCTACGGAAGGTTTTCATTGAAACTGCATTTCATTAAATAATTGATAAAATGCAGCATTGATCGACAACTGATAAGGTGATTGTGATGACTGTTTGTGTTTATAGTTTATACCAGTGTAATCTATAATGAAAGTGGAAAAGCAGTGAATATGTTGAAAATATTGTTGTGATTGTTGTGTTTATTAATATAGGTTAATATTCTATATTTTTGATAATAATAATCATTGATTATTCCTTCAATATTTCTACTATGAAAAACAATGAATTTGATTCATAAGTTTCTGTTCGGATTATATATCCTTTTGAATATATTATTATTTTGTGGAGTCATATGGAGTCATACAATGATGAATCTTGACATTTGTGTATCAAAATTCCTCCAGCTCAATATTACTGTTTGCAACATGGATGTTTATTCCATCATTATGCAAATTACTTGCATATTCATTTGTAATCAGAAGTAGTTAACCAAGTGATCCTGATTCTATGTGATTACAATTTATTTTACCTAATTGATTGAACATGTCACTCACATAGGGAGTTCCTTGCAGACAAATAATAGAAACATCAATTTAATATGCAGAATATTCAACAGAATAGTCTAATCTTATATCAAATTCCTATCATTATGACTTGGGAAACAAGAAACTATATCAATGGAATAAGTAATAACTTATTATTATAATCAAAAAATTTTTAGGACCTAATGATATATACAAATGAGTGAAATGAGCTTGGGAGCCATGCAGGGTGCTCCAGGGGAACGGCGACTCAAGCAACTTGAGTCACTGTTTCTTGGGGGTCCTATGGCAGCAAAGGATCAGAGTTTCAGTATTGAAGCTCTCATTGATATACTGCTTGTGCTCTATGATGAATGCTGTAATTCAAGTTTACGAAAAGAGAAAACTGTATCAGATTTTATTGAAAATGGTAACTAGAAGAATTTATATCATGCTTTTTAAACTAACTTATATGAAGCTGATGGCACTGATTATTTCTTGTTTTTAGTGAAACCTGTGGCCACCACAGTGAAAACCTTGAGATTGACTAGAGAGGATTTTGAAATCATTAAAGTTATTGGACGTGGTGCTTTTGGAGAAGTCTGTGTTGTTAAATTCAAAGGTACTGACAAAGTATTTGCCATGAAAATCCTCAATAAATGGGAAATGTTGAAGAGAGCTGAAACTGCTTGTTTCAAAGAAGAGAGGGATGTTTTAGTGTATGGTGACAGAAGATGGATAACCCATCTTCATTATGCATTTCAAGTGAGTATGTCAACATCTGCTTCCATCAATATTTAATATACCTTGTGGGGCATCTGATATTATGGAAACCCAAGAACATACCATGATGAATATGATTATTATAAATAATAAGGATCTCCTATTCAACCTTTTTGTAGGTACTGAATTACTCAAATGATTTTATTTTACATAAATCCACTACACTGTTGAAATGGTTGAATAAGGGTTTATGGTTTAATGTGTATATAGCCAATTTCATTTTTCAAGATATCTTCAATGGGTTTTTCTAAATTTCTCATCTTCCATGTATGTTGCTACTCTCCCAAGGTATGTAAGTTAATGTGTATACAGCCATTCGTTTCTATCATCTTAACAATTTTTCTGTGAAAAAATCAAGGTGATCACTCCTGTGATGACCATGTACATAGTATGAGGTGTCCACCCTGTCTACATTTGTTTCAAATCTAGACCCAGTGGTCAACTCAAGATGTTAACTGATATAAATAAAGCTTTCAACTTTGACATTTCAAGAATTCCTTATATTTATAGAAGGAAGGTATTATTTTCTTGCTGGAAGGTCATATACAGGGTCAGAATAAGACCAACAAACTTCATATACAGATTCCTTACCTCATTTTGAGGTGAAAAATTCCTATCAACATATTATGTCCCTCCTTATGTAACCTCTGAGATACATGGTGGCAAGAGTATAAAAAAATTTGGTTCACATTAATTTCTTCAGAACCCCTCTAGATTTCAATAGCTTTTTCAATGGAGATAACCTTATTTTCCTCATCATTCTCTTCTACTCATGAGCATATGGACAAAAGTTCAAATACACTACACATGCTCAAAATTAATTTGTGAAATTCTCTAATATTACAAAGTTTCCTGTGTGAGACAAGCAAAGCCCATGTTTGTTCTTCAACAATGTGGGAATATATCCACTATATGCTAGGATTGATTAAATTAGCCTCAAATTATAGAATAATTAGTTTTGTGATTGACATTTTTTTTTATTTGCTATTGACATGTTCATGTTGAATTTGTGAAAATTGTTATCAACTATCAACAATAAATCGATGATAGGCTCAACAAAGAGCCTTAAAATAGCCTGAAATTATAGTATACTTAATATACGTATCCCAATTTTGGTTTTTCTAGCTCTCATGCTAGCATAAAGGTTAACACATGGTTTGAAGAAAAACAATGTGCAAAAAATTTGGCCAAAGACTAGGATTGGAGCATCAAATTAGCCTTTAATTATGGTGAATCAGTTTTGTCATTCAACTCTTTATTGAGTCACCATTAATTTTGATTTTATCAAACATTCTTGTAAAAAATTACTGACAAAAAAAGTCTATGATAGGCTCTACAAAGAGCCTTAAAGTAACCTTGAATTATGGTACTCAATATCCTTACATTCCCTCTTTTTTTTGGTTCTGCTAGATTAATGGTTAAGCTAATGGATGATGATGATTTAAATAAAACAATGTGTCAAAGAATCGGCAATAGGCGAGGTTTGAAGCCTCAAATAAGCATTAAATTATGATATCATTAAATTTGTGTGATTGATTGAACTTTTATTTAGGAAGTTGTTTTGCTAACTTGATGTTAAGCTAGCAGAACCCACGTTTTTTGCATAAATCGAGGATTAATAAATTCGGCTATCAGGTAATAAATTAGCCTAAAATTATGAGTAATGTAATGTCAACTTGGCGCAGTTTTTTTGAAAACTCTCTGTTGAACTAAGCAAATTATTGAATAATTCAAGGAAATAAAATACGAAAATGTGTTTCTATAGGTGGCATTTATTGGTTAAACTATTCATTTCTTTTTCCTATTGAAGAAAAAGCTACCTAGAAAAAAGGAGGAAAATCATAATAAGAAAAATAAAAATCTAAAAAAAAAACTGAAAGTGATGATAACCATTTGATGAGTAGAACATGAGTTTCAGGTTCTGAAACAGTTCTGAATAGCTCCCAACATCTACTACAAAAAATGCTCATAGTGTTTGGAAGAAGATGAAATATACCATTTTTTGAAAGGTTTTCATTTTCTATTTTCGAAGGAGTACTGAGTAGCGCTCAACGAGTTCTTCAACAATTTCTTATTGTGTTTTATAGACAAATCGTTACTTTTTCATTCATGAGCTGTCATAAGGTGCAGACTTCAAACGACTCGCATTTTCGATAAAAAATGGATTCCAAAGAACAGAACCGTTCTGATAGGGGTTCTGAATAGTGCTCTATGAGTCATACAAAATATTCCCATTGTGTTTTAGAGACAAATCATTACTTCTCAATTTATCACCTGTCATAAGGTGCCGTAGTACGGACCTCAAAAAATTAACATTCTCGATATAAAATTAATTCTAATGAACAGAACAGTTCTGATGAGAGTTCTGAGTAGCGCTCGACCACTTCTTCAAAATATTCTTATTGTGTTTTAGACACAAATCGATACATACTTTCTCATTTATCAGTTGCTGTCAAAAGGTGCTGACCCCAAAAATTAACATTCTCGATGTATAAAATTAATTCTGATGAACAGAATAGTTCTGATAGGAGTTCTGAGTAGCGCTCAACGAGTTCTTCAAATTATTCCCATTGTGTTTTAAGAAGAGATTCATACTTTCTTATTTATCAGCTGTCAAAAGGTGCCGACCTCATAAGACTAACATTCTCCATAAAAAATGACAGTTCTGATGGGAGTTATCAGTAGCGCTCGCCGAGCTCTTCCACATATGCCTATTGTGTGCTAGAGTCAAATCGATACTTTTTCATTTATCAGCTGTCATAAGGAGCCAACCTTGAAAAACAGAAATATCTGAAAGGAGTTATGGGCAACGCTCTACGAAACTGAACAGGAACATTTTGTAGAACTTGATGAGCACTGTCCAGAACTGTTGTTTTTTTGCTGATGTTTTGCTACTAGTTTTTTATTGAAAATTATAGATTTTTGAGGTCAGCACCTTTAGACAGCTAATAAATAAAAAAGTATCGATTTGTCTCTAAAACACAATGAAAACATTTCGAAGAACTCGTCGAGAGCTACTCAGAACTCCCATTAGGAATGTTACATTTATGAGGTCGTCACCTTATGACATTTGATGAATGAAAAAGTATCGATTTGTCACTAATTCGCAATGAGAATATTTTGAAGAACTTGAGAACTCTCTTCAGGACTGCTCTGTATTCCACTATTAAATTTCCAAAAGTAATATCACGTTGTTCTGAATATGCGAGATAATTCTGTCGCTTTGTTCTTCACGATATTGTGTTGCCGAGCAACACCACGAGTTTGCCAGGAAGTACTAAGTAATTCTTGCATCTATGCACTGACCAACCCTTGATACTATTTGTCCCTTTGTTGTGGCATGTGTTTTTAATATCTTTGTTAAGATTTTGAGGGCAGTAATTTCAAACTTGCAGAATTTGCTGCCTCTGATAGGATGGAATCTTATAGCTCGTCGTCAGACCTGTTCTTGACAGCTGTTAAACCTTTTGTGATTTGATTTGTTTCTAGATTCTTACTGACAGAAATCGAGGAAAAATATATTTTTTAATACCGTTGAAAGATAAAGAGCGATACACTTCCAATGGCTTCTCATATTGCATAAAATAGTCTACAGCAACTGGCATGAATTCAAATTTTCCATACTAGTGAGATTTTTGAGTAGTTTCACTTTTCCGCACTTTCCGCATGAGTTAGGAATAATATTTTTTCTACAAGCGTAGGAAATTGGTTGATTAATTCGATTAATTATTCATGCATATAGGAACAACTAACAAGAGAAATATATTCTCTATCTACTGATTATTAGTGATAGCTATTGCTATAGCTTACAGTTTGACGCATTATGTAGGTTCATTGCGGAAGCCAGCAGGCTCATAAGGTGTTTGGTCTCTAGGTTTCAGACACTTCTAGGAAATGAGCCAAAAATACTTCTTTATTCGGTAATTTCATTTCTTTATTGTTGCACCATTCAGTAAAACGCGTGTATAGCTTCTCATACCTTTCATGAGACTTCGTTGGCAATAACGCATCTGTATCGCATCCCTATAGCTGGAAGTTTTTGATCACATTGTGGCAATTCCACTGAATCGAAAACGACAGTAACGCTGTGTCTGTCACTTCGACAATTACAAACTCATTTGAGGTTTGATTGGCATGACAACAATAATCCTTGCCCATCAGATCAATACAAATCTATAGGGGGATTTTTATAATGATCAATTTTAATTTTGCAATTTGATGGATGATTCTGAACATACATACTTAATACTGCAACAAACAAACTCAAACTTTCATATACCATCACCTACCTTATATTTTGCGATAATATCAAATCATTGTTTTTCCCTCACTAGGGTGGGAAAACAATTCTCGCACTAGTCTGGGAAAAAATTTCCCGCACTGTTGCGGGAACATGACACTTTCCAAACTAAATTACGTGCGGGTGTATGGTGAATCACGCACGCTTGTAGAAAACAATCTTATCCGCACGGTATGTGGAAAAGTTTGACTATGTGAAATATGAAAATATGAAAAGTACTACCCTAATGGAACTCTGTGTTATAGTTGCTAGAAAAAATCTTTCTTTCTAGGCCAGCATATTCTCTTCCTGAAAACATCGGTTATTACTTCACAAAAGTGCAGCAAAAATTATCGAGCAATTTGTGAAACATTCTTATCAGAAAATAGACTTTACCAGTTTGGCTTCCAATAAAAAAACACTTTATGGATAATATAAAAACATAACAGTTGATATTCAGGAGCAGATCTTGAATTTTTTTGAGGGGGGGGGGGTATATGCATCCAATCGTTCGCAAAGGGGAGAAGCTTTTTTCGGAAGTAGCCACTGACATTGGCAGTGTTACTGTGGGGTAAAATTTTTGGTCGATATAAAATACTGTATTGTTACGTTATTCGGGTGCAGAAGCGAACACGACACTATTTATTTTCGAACTGATTTATTTAAACTAAAGAAACACTAATTTATATCGAACTTATAACTA